TTACAATAATTTAATGGTATCTCCATCCACTACAGTCCCTTTGGGCCAGGTTATAGGATTTTACTTTGCAAAGAAGTCCTACCCTTGCCTAGCCTGGCTGGTGGTGAGGCATTATATACTTCCTATAACATACCATGGGTATACTTCCTATAACAGCCATGGGTTGCAGCAGTTTATAGGGATAGCCATGACAATTTTCTCCCCTTATCCCTTTGGACCTCTCCATAGGCTTGAATATTGAACTCCCCCCTTTGCCCTGGTTCAGCATGATATCATCTACAGGCTGCAGTCCCTTTGTGGTGTACCTGCTGGGATGTGGACCTGTCTGTGGTGTACCTGCTCTGGTGTGGTCTTATCCATGAGGCACAGTCCCTTCATAATTGTACCTGCTCTGTTGTGGCCTGTTCTGGTCACAAATCCAAAATACAGCACCATATGAGTTACTATGAAGAAAATTAACTCCATTCCAGGCAAAACTGGTAGACTCCTTCTCTGATTAAATGTCTGGCTTGATAAACAAGGGAAGAGCAGTGGATATTTATAGTCTGTCTTCACTTCAGTAAGGCTTTCAGCGCTGTCTCCCACAGAATCCTTGTCGACATGCTTTTGCAGCATGGGCTGAATGAGCAGACATTGAAGTGAATGGAAATGCGAGCCAGGCTCTTCTCAGTGGTGCCCAGTGCCAGGAAAAGAGGCAACAGGGACAGACTGAAACACAGGAGGTTCCCTCTGAACATCAGGAAACACTTCCATACTTATGAGGGTGACTAAGCACTGACACAGGTTGACCAGAGATGTTGTGGCATCTTAGAGACACTCAAAAGCCATCTGGACATAGTCCTGGGCAACACAGGTGGCCCTGCTTGAGCAGTGAGACTTCATGAAGTGGTCTCCAGCAGTCCCTGCCCACCTCAACCATTCTGTGACTAGAGTCCATCCTGCAAAGGACAGAACTGAAACATTTTCACCAAGCGACATGAATATGCAGTTTCCATTCTATCATTCCATAATTTCCAGTTAGTAAGTATTTGACTTTAAAAATGATGAGCACAACATTTGAGAGTATCTCACCTTGGAGAAATTTTAAGACATTTCTATTTCTTCAAGTAGAAATCTCATGTTGGATCTGCTCTTTCCCATGTGGACCTATAATAGGATAAAAACAATAGTCAAAGGCCCTACCATCATACTTCCAGAATACAAAATATTTCTGGAAAGGAACCACAGCCTAGAAAGGGTGTGGGATATTGTTTATTGCTTATAATGAAAAAGGTAATAAAAAATATTCAGATCAAACTGAACATGCAGAAGCAACATTCTTACATCTTCTCTCTGCTGCCATGTATTAGATGAATGAGAGGAGAGCACTGCCTTTTGTGTAGTTTGACTTTAGCATGTATTGGGTGTCTATGTTCAGGAGTTGGCAGTTTGTGTATGATGCCAAAGTGTGCAAAGGCTAGGACAGGCTGGGAAGCAGCTCTTCTGACAAGAACCTTAGGATGCTGTCCGACAAGAAGTGGAGTCTGAGTTGAGCTTACATTAACACCTAAATTTTCCCATGAGCCTATGGATGTATGCAGTTTTAGGGTGCATTCTACAATCCATATTCTGAGATCATAAAACAGTTGTAGATGACATATGCTATATACATACAATAAAGACAATAACATCAAGAAATGGACCTCACTATATGATGTTGAGCGGCTACCTGAAAAAAAACACATTTATGACTCTCTTAGTAGCATAACGTGCTTAATCAGATTGCCTTGGTCTTGGGAAGCCAAGTTTACAACCATATACAGTGTGACAGTGCGTATTAAATAGCTTGGTCCTGATTTACCTTTTTTCCCCTACAGAGTCTTCTTCCAGAGCACAGCTCTCCACAGCTCCTTATCTCAGCAGCAAACAAGGAACTATAATAGATTTATTCCCTAGGATGTAAGATAAAGAAACAGAAGAAATAATTTTCTTAAGGTAGAATGCCACAGCAAGGAGGTGTGGACACTGGTGTGGTACTGGAGGGAGAGGCAGCAGAACAAGTGCAGCAGCTTGGGGACCTGGTCTGCAGGGTCAGCAGCGAGTCCTACAGCAAGTCTCCGGGTTGAGTCCATGTTGGAGTAAGGAAGAGGTCTCCAGACACACACGTGACCAGGCAGAGAAATGACAAGTGCTTCCACTACAATGCCAGCTCTCTTCAGTGTGTTTAGTGGCACAGATCTGTCCGCCAGGCTGTAAATATGTGGGGTAAGGCATCTGTGGTCTCTTCATCTGTATAATACCCAGCAGTGTTCAGTGATGGAGCTGCTGCCCAAAGCTGTGAAGTTGATAAACAAACCTGCTGCAGCTGTATTTGCAAAGTGAAAATTTACTGATGGCACTGCTAGAATGAAATAGGGTGAGACAGGTGGACCTTAACACACAGAGCATTTGGAGTCTGCACTTTATTTGATCTTTCTCTTGATTTCCTTTTAGCACGATGTCTTTCTAGGAGCTAATTTTTTTTTCCCTATTGTACTTAAGGCTCTGATCTATCACTCTGACCAGGTGTTAAGCAGGTGCTGTTAAATTTCACAGAAGGTTTGCAGTCCTGGCACACTACAGCTCAATCTTAGCACAGTGTATATAGCCTATATAAATACAGAGAGTTCAGAGACAAGGAAATTCAGGAAAAAGGTGGGGACTAGCACCTGTGTCTGTATTGATTAGCCCAAGGCATTGTGTTTTATCAGTCAAGCAAGTGTCTGAAAGGTGCTAAGCAAGCTGAGATCACTTGACAGCTTCACTAGCCTCATCTGCTCTTTTCAAGACAATATGAAAGCCATCTGATGGAACACAAGTCTATGTCAGAGAAGACAGGCATGTGTTCATGTCAGCTCTGTCTACCTTTTGTTCTCAGCAGGTCGATGGCCTCACTTGTGTGCAGGCACCACAAACTGATGGTCACCTCGACAGCCCGTGATGCAAACACACGGTTGCAGATGCAGTGACACTGAAGCTCTTGTTTGGCTTACATTTTACTAAAAGACATTAAAAAATAAATAAATCAGTAAGCATCAAGTAAATGTGACAGCCAATGGAATGCGACTACTTACCATCAGTGACTTGTCTTAGTAGAGGTCCTTGTGACTCAACAGCGTCTGCTGATAAATATTGCCCAGGGTGATATGTGGGGAATGAAGGAGGGCACTGGTATCCCACCATGACTACCACAGCCTGGGCTGTGCCTGCTCACTGTGCCATAGCCAGCAGCCTACCCCTCAGGAAAAGCTAGGTGCACTGTACGGGCCCCAATAGCAGAAACAGAAGGGGTTTTATAGATTAACTCCACAAAGGACACCACTGCACGGCTTTCATGCCATGCAGGCAGACAGAGGCACAGCGAAGTGAGTTTCAAAGGGTACAAGAGTCACCAAACACAGGGTGTTGGTAGCATGGGGTGTACAAGCAGCGCAGGTGGCTCTGGCCACGGGCCAGGTGAGCACATGGAACTTTGCAGAGGGCAGCTGACTTTGTTCTGATTATTTCATCAGGGAGTGGAGGCTGTGGTACCTGGTGCCTTCATCCCATGAGGGGGTGGGATGTCCTTGACCCCAGGAGAGAATAAAAGGGTGATTTTCAGTATTCTGTTGTTTTTTTGTTTGTTTGTTTGTTTTTTGTGTCAGTTTGGTTTGAGGGATTGGCAGGGAGGAGGGCTTTATGGCAGGTGATAATTGGGGCAGGGGACAACAAGCTGGCCAAACTTCTAGGACTTGCTGTCACAGGCAGTGGAGAGATACAGCATCAAGAGATCCAAAAAGGGGCTAGATAACTTTGTGATCAATGAATTCATCTCCCCAGACACTGTGGATGGACCTTAAATGTGGCCATATGTGACCTCCAAGGTCCACTGCACTCTGATGGGCTGCTGATGTGAGCAGGGTGTTTTTGTATGTTTCAAAAGGGACTCCCAAAGGTGCTTTTATCTTTAATGAGAAAAATGACAAAGCAGAGTGAACGTGAGCCCAGTTATTCCTGTACTTTTTCAGGTCAAAGCAAAGCCCTGTCTGGACTCAGTAGTAATCTCTGACAGCAGTTGACAGCAGACACTGTTCTGCTTGGTTCTGGCAAGTAACTTCTTTCAGTAAATTTATGCATAATAAGTGTGATACCTGAGCTCTGATTTGGGAATCCTGCTGTACATGTGATGAACCACTGGGAGTGTGTCAGTCTTAGATTATTTAGAGCTACATATTGTAATGGGAACCGTCTGAATGCACAAGGCAAGTTCTTGTCGATGGAGCTAAACATGGATCATCTATGTAGTGAACTGTAAGTTACATAAACTTGTGCTTCTAGGTGCTTTCTGGAGATGCTAATTAAACCCTAGAAATCTAATTGTGTATTACAAGAGCTGTATCACTGTACCAATAATTAATTCCAAATGCATTAGCAGGCTTAGAGAAGGGTGTCTGTAGAAGCATGTAGAAATCCAACAGCAGTACGATCTTGAATTTTTCTCTAAAAATGAGGAAGAGTTGTCACGACCGCATGTTCTGTGGGCTGTGACCTTTACAGTGATCATAAATCAATTAATTGTTGTCTTTTTGATCTGAGAAAAAATAAACTAAGCAACACTCCTAAGAAAATATGGGTAGCTTCCTTTAGTGTTGGAAATTACAATACAGACTTCCTTCTTAAATCCCCTGGTTCCTTTTTTCTTTTTAGTAATATGTGCACAACAACATGACAGTCATAATGTGGCATGGCACTTAAAGAGCCATTTAAGTCCATTTTCTACTTCTTGGTTATATTAAATAAGATAAATTAATGGCAGCTCCACTACCTATAATTCCTGTAACTGCTCTGAATTAGCTCATGAACTATAATTATCAATTCTCAGGACAGCCTTGAGGAACATGGAAATACAATGTGCAGCATATGAAATACTTGAACATGCCTTGACAGTTTCTTGCAGATATTCTGGAACCTATGTTTCTCTAATGTTAATTTGCATACACATAACAAACATAATATTTTCTTTATTTGAAATAAATAAGTTCCTTGGGCTTCAACTGAGCCAGATTGTGAGCTCATCTTCTTGTGTAAGTCTATGGTATATTTGGTGGAGCTTGTAATACATAGGGGGTCATCAGGAAAACTTTCATGTTTTCTTGACATTTCACCACAAATGTGTTAAAGCAAGTACAAAAGCTGTCCTTTCCCTCCCTGCTGATGCCCTCACATTAGATATGATGGCATGAAATAGCATATGGGCTGACAGGCTGCCAAATGCCCATATGTGATATTCTGTAGGACTGCTGAACCGCTGTAGTTCATTATGTGCTGGTACATTGCACTGACCCTGTGGAGTTGCAATGAATCCATCTTCCTTTCAGGACTTTTGGGTCCAATAGAGAATAAGGCTTCTTGAGCTAGAAAGATGACACCTTTAATTTAGGTGACATCTAGGGACACACTGAGGCTATCTAGTGGCTATCTCTTTGAACTGACAAAATGTAATTGCTTAAAGTACATTACATTATTGAAATCAAACTACAGAGCAGAAGTAACAAGGAAAGGCAGGTGATCTCTGATGAGTACTAGTACACAAAGTCCTTATACTTACTCTCTGCTTTCCCATATTGCTAGATTCTATGCTTCTTGTAAAACACTTTTCTTTGGTTTAGTCTGTTCTTGTTTAAAAAAAAGAAAAGTGTTTTTTTCAGGATTTTCCCAGCAAGGATGGACTGCTGGACAAGACACCCAGCACTTATTTACATGATCCAAGCCCTTTAAAAGCACAAAGTTACATACAATAGCAGTATCAATTTCTTATTTTACATGGCCTTTAAACACTTACAGCACCAGATGCAGCCTACGGCTTGGAGTATGTTCTAACTTGCAAAAAACAAGTGATGAATAATGTGGAAAACATGCTAATATCAGAGTCAAACTATCATGAAATGCTCTGTATGTGTGTATATATATAAATAGACAAGCAAGTTACTCCCTTTGAGTATAAAGTTTCTCAAACTTTATGGCTTTAGTATTCTGTGCTTACAAACATACTAAATAAAACAAAAATCTAACACTTGATACAATAAGAATCTTTTACTTAACTGATTAACAGCATATAATGTTGCCTAATCAACCAAATCACACTTCAAATACAAGAGAACTGATTTCTCCTTCCATTTACATCAGGAGTAAAGTTTGTTCCAGCTTCGATGGAAGTAATACTTGTTCCTCAATCTTTAAATCACATCCAGGCAGTGAAGCTATTTCTTGTATGCTTTCTGGCATCAATGGCAATGCAATCAACTTGAGAGCAGCCACTTACTAGTTCTTTCAGTGCAGTATATAATGACAGTCAACAGGCCCTCCAAAAAGGGATGAACAGATCTGTCAGGAAAAAAACAAACAAACAAACAAACAAACAAACAAAAAAAGATTTTTTAGATTTGCAGATTTGTTAACCTGCAAGACATTTCATACTGGGTCAAATGTGTTGGGTCTGCGTGGAAGAAACTTGTTTGTCTTTTTTAGCCCTACCTTCTCCCATCCAGAAGCTGTCCTGCAAGGAGCAGGAGGGAAGCCATCTGGACCACGTATGCAGGCACTTGGCATCTCTGGTGGCAGCCTTGACAATGGTCTCTACCAAGGACAAGAGTCCTGAAATACTGATATAGGGCAAAAATCCTAGTGCGGATCCTCCGGTGGCAAAAATAACTTAGCTGCACGTTACTGGTTGTGTTTTCATTTATTTATTTATTCATTTGAGGGGGAGTCTCTCTATATAGAAAAGTGTCTTTGGGAAGGAAAAGTACCATTCCAGAACCCCAGTGCTATTAGGGTGAGACATAAAATATTGGGGAAAACAAGGGAGAATTTGCTACAAGTGCCACTTGAGATTTTGTGTATAGCAGTGGATGTTAGTTAAAGAGGTCAGAACCGTGAAATAACATGATCTTCCTAGGAGTGCTACTGCTTTATTTCTTGTAGCCTGCAGTGCAGACATAGCAAGCAATTTGAAAGACTGACTAGTAGAGAGAATTGTAGGGATGAGGGCAAAAGGAGACAAGGAATATTTAATGTTCCAACCCTCCTCCCCACCTCCAAGTTAATTCAGTGTGGGCTTTTCTTGATCAAAGTTCCTACCCCACAATATATTGTAATTTATGTGTTTGAGGCATACAATAATGCTGAGCTAATGTGGTTTTGTACTTAAGTAAACATGTTTTCGGAGTTACTAATGCATGACAAAGTGCTGGGTCGAAGTCTCTCCTGAATTAGGAGAAGAAAGAAAAACAGATATATAAAAGGAGCAGCATGCCTGACTGAGTAATGCTGCATCAGAAAGTCTGCAAGTCAGTATCCTACTCTTTGATAAGGAACTATTTTTAATAACTTCTTGGGCTGAGAATGAAACATCCCATTTCACCTGGGATCTTCTGCAGAGCACGCAGCTACTGCTTTTGAATTTTTTAGCCTGTTTCTTAGAATGTTAAAAGACATATTCTATCTCAGGTCTTAGGACTGTAAAACACAAATATCCCAAAAGGGTTTCAAATTTAAAAAAAAAAAATAATCAAAAGTTTACCCTAGTTGGCAATGAAAGTATAAGCAGACATATAGTGTCATGGGTAGCATGTAGATTAAATAATACTTTTATATCTAGTGGAGTCTCAGCATTTTTTTTATTTATCATGCAACTGAGTTATATATCATTAAACTAAAAAAACCATGTTACTTCTCATTTTAAAAGGTCCTTTCATAAGATTTCTTTGGAGATATACTTGGGTAGGAGAGTACATCTTCATACATGGGAGTACAGACACAAGGTCCGTGTCCTTATCACTGCTGGTGCTTTCTTACCATTCTCTTAAAATGAGATAGTGAAATAAAATACAGATATTGTTTGATGTATATTTAATGTATGTTCTAAAGGATCTCATCTGATAAGCTATCATGAGAAACGGACCTTCCATAGCATTTCCTAATACAGCACATGGTTTTGATCTATAAAGTAAACCACAATAAGAAAACCACGTGTTAACAGCGTGGGAACACCAAGAAGAGAGACCTTTCTTAGTGTGTTTTGAACACGATGAGATTTCTAGATAGTTTTGCACCACTGATGTCTCTTTCATCAGTGAGATAGATCCCAGAGCTTGGTCAGAGTAACAAAGACGAGTTGAACCAGGAAAATCAGAAAATGGAGTGAAGGGGAGGGTAGGAAACTTTGATATAAGCTTGTAAGTTCTATCAGTATTTCATGGGTTTATGTGAGAGGATACTATAATGATGGAGCAGTCTGAAACTAAAAGGCATGTGTATCCCACAAGTTGCAGAGTAGAAGCCCAAGTGGCAGGAGCTCCACTTTCCCAGAGTTACAAAAAACACTGTATTACAAGGATCCAGATATCCAGAACCAGACAGAAATCATCACTACAGAGAGTGCCTCAAACAAAGCACTGCTCTCTTGGTTTTGATTACTTGCTGTGGTCTGTGCTAGACTCACTCCTGCAAGCATCTTTACTGGTGCAAACAGAACTACCAAGTGAAAAAGTTTCCCTGTGCAAAGGGGGACTCCTCGTAAGGAACATAAATACCTGGGAGGACAGGACAAACACTGTGACTGTCTGAGTAGCACAGAGAAAAAGAGGGAACTGTAATATGCTGTCTCATAGCACAAGAGCCAGGCAGCGTCATGCAGAACACGAAAATGAGAGATTCAAAACAAGTCAAGGAGATGCTCTGTCAGACAGCGGCCCTGTAAAATCTCTGCTGAAGGACAATGAGGTTGCTTGAGTTCTGCATGCATTCAAAGACATTAAATGATATATATATATATATTTATTTATTTTTATTTTTTTTAAGAAAAAAAAAAAGGCCACCCATTGCAAAAATAACTTTGCTGGCTTAAGATACCCGTCAACCTCCAAATTGCTGGGGAAAATGGAAGAGTATTTTGAAGAAGTATCACTGTATGCTCGATCTGATTTTTACATTATTCCCTAGGCATTCACTATGCAGGACCTGACAGACCTTCAGAATTACCTGGTAGTTCTCATCTGATTTTCTCCTATATGTAATTGTGAAAACAAGTAACAGCTCACAATTTGCAGATAGAGTAGAAATGGGTGTGGTGAATGGCCAAGAGTGTCAACTCAAGCTTCCTCCTTAACTGTATTCCTGATGCTAGCTGACAGGTAATAATCTTGTGATGCTAGTCACTGAAAGGGTACTTCCTAAACAAACATACACTAAACACTGTCAAATCACACAGGCAAATGGACCACAAGATTTTCCACTGCTTCAAGAGAATGAACTCAAGAAGTAGCTTCACTACAAGAGATAGGAGTATTTCAATTCAAGCACATGTTTATATTTATTAAGGTACTTAAAATTAGGTGTGTGCTCAAGAGCTGTTATGAGACGTGGGCTTAAAGCATTTTCCCGAGCTGGGACTTTGCTACACTGATAGTTGGCAATGCAACTAGTGAAAAGAGGAGTGAAACCTAAAATAGATGCACACACACACAAAAATGCAAAAAGAGTGTTTCTTTTTATGTCTGTCTGCTAAGCTTAGTGGGCTTTCTTGGCTAAGTCTGAGCTAAATATTACTGAAAATAGCATAGTACTGTAGTTATTTCAAAGCACTGTCTGTATTTGTTCTGTGCACTGGGTGGGCAGGAAGCTTCATTTCATAAATCACTTTCAACGAGACAGTAGGCTATAAAAAGGGAGTTTTTTTTTTCCCTTTAGTGTTTTTAGTTCTGACAGTTCTGAAGTGGTACAGCCTACATACTGGGAAAAGTTCAAAAAATGTTTCTCACTGCCCTGCAGACCTTCTCTTGCACGTAAGAGACCCAGGGAGCCACCAGCAGGCACCCCTGTGCTAGTTGGTCCCCCAGGTCATGCTGCGTAGACCACTGTAAGACATTTGTCAGCAAAATTGCTAAAGCAATGTCTCCTTCCCAGCCCAATGCAAAGCCCTCCACAAGAAGTTTCACGGTGCACTGTCAGCATAGGGAACCCATCTGGTCAAATAATTGTCCAGAAAAATAAATTAGGTTAGTTTTCAGTGTAGTCATGCAGGGATGAGCAATAGGATGAAGAGTGTGAGAAGAGCGGAGGCATAACCAGGCAGAAGAGCCTTCTTGATCCAGCAATTCTCCTTGAAAGTTATTTGTTAATTTGCTAATTTGTTAGATTGAGCTTTACACTCAAAAAGGAGCCAACCGCAGGTTAGGTTGCTCCCTGTGGTACATACTGGGAACAACAGGATAGAGAGACGCAGTCATCCGTCTGCAGCAAGGGAAAAAGTGCTGTCTGGTACCACTCGCTGTATCACAACTTCTCCCACTTACATTAAGAAAAATGGAGTTCTGCACACCGGTACCCACAATTTTGGTGCACTGGCTGGACAAGTGGGCTTCTAAACTACTGCAGAAAAGTAAATGTCACTGAATGAGTGGTTTCCATCCAGGTTGGTTGTTTCTCCCCAGGGTCACTAAAACTTTGACCAACGGGGTTTACAAAGCTCAGGAAGTTCACAACTGCTAAATGTTAGCTGAACATTTTGTAAGGACAGCCATAGTGAGTCAGTGCCTCAAATCATCCTTTCCAGGCTCTGCTTTTGACTGTCCCCAGTGCTGAAGGCCTCAAGAAACACAACCAGCAATTGTAGCACCAGCCTTTCCCTGTGCTGCCCTTCCAACTTTTGGCACTCTGCTTTGTTTCCTGACCTAAAGTTTGCTAACAACCAGCTGGCTGCCTCCAGCCGAGTGATTTTCACTCCCCCTGGCTCCCTGCACACATCTCCCATGTCTGCAACAAGCTCCTCTGCTGGGTCAGCACAATCCACTGCCTCCTGTCCGACCTGGGAGCCACTGCAGCCTCGCTCTGCATTTGGTAGGCTTAGAAACACATTCCTCAGCTACAGTACACTGCTAGAGCTGCTGTCTGCTCTTGCACTTCAGGGATTAAAACTGTTGCAAAGGTTGTACTCCAATCAGGGTTAATTTATTTTCCGTACTCTCCAATAAGTCTTTACCCTCTCTTTTTAAAAGAACTGATTTTGGTAGGAAAAGGTGTTCAAAGAGCTCTGGGAAAAATAGCAGCAACCATGTACTGCTTTGTTTTAAAGCAGGGTTTAACATCCTTTTCATGCTACAGTCCCAGCCTATGAAAGGGTAAAATATGGTTGCTTACAATAATTGTAAACACTCCTCCAGCTGAATCCAACCTGATGGAATGAATACATATGCAGAGTGTTAGTTATGATACTGACCATATATGAGAAGGAAAACTAATTAAAATTCATATCTGAGGCTATGTCCAAGCTACCTTGTGGATTATGCGTAGGATTGCCTTTTAAAAGCACTGCAAGGTTGAAGCCTCTGTTTTAATTCAAAGAAACATTTTTTTACACAGTTTTAGTGGGAATTTTGGAACTGGTAATTGAGACAATCCAGTATTGCCCATACAAAAAACGTATGCCTTGTGCATTTGGGAGAGCTCTGAATTTGTAAGCAGGCATTTGCATACACCATTATGTGGATATTGAAACTGAAGCATCAGCCAAACATTCAACCTAAATTACTTTCATTTAGGCTGATGTAAGCAAGCCTTATGCTTTTGCCACTTGACACATGTAAGGTAACGTGCAGAGAGTTCATGGCAGACTACAGCCCTCTGAGTTGAAGTTAGAGCTTTACATTTAGACTAAAGATGCATCAGAGGAATATTTAAAAAAAATATATACTCCAATCAATTTTAGCAACTCTGAAGGCTCATAGGACTTCTCCATTTAATTGCAATGCAAGTCCAAAACATTTCCTTCTGCATGGTAGCACTCGCTGACTTGAGCCAGTATTTTAGTGATTCTCCACTGCAGTTGAGATTGCACCCTGTTGTATTAACTGATACTGCTTTAGAAGAGAACATCAAATGCTGGGAAGGTGTCCTTTACAGGCGGATTAAAACTCCTAATTTTACATGGTAATTATTAAGATGAATCATGAAACAAAGGCTGCCAGCTATGCTATGTTAGACTGAAGTCTCCCATGTTCAACATTCTCTAGCTGCATTTAGCTCAGTAAGTCTGTCATTGGATTTCCATGAATTTGCTGAGTGTTGAAGTTTGCTTTTAAATTCTCTTGCAATCATACAAACCACACAATAAGACTAACCACTCTAAATTGATTTACAGAAAATGAAAATGAGCTATCTGGAAACCAGTTTTAGTAGTGATATATTGTCTAAGTTCAGTGTGGCTCATTTTGTATCGCTTTGATCAGAAATAAAATCTTTGACAATTAAAGCCGGAAAAGGCTTGCTACAAACACAAACTCTGAACTGTAAAAGTATTGGTTCAAGCTGAGTGATAAATGGCAGAAGTTCTGTTTTCCACAATGGTGTAAACAGTTAGCTCAAGAGTGCTGTTGCTATTGTTACATATTTACAGCTGAAATCTGCTATATATATCACATTTCAAAAAATAGAACACTCTCTCAGAAAACAACATTTCAGCTCTTCTCTCTCTTCAACCTGGATCTCAATCCCCAAAGGAACATATGCAAGACAGCAGATAAATCACACTTTACATAATAAGTGTATGCCATAACCTTGATGAGTAGGGTGTAAAGCTATTTTTTCACTACTCTCCCCAACATGCTAGAAAAGTTGATTTAAGTTTTGAATTTCCGTGCATCTGTAAAGTCATTTATCATAACACAAAAATCTGCCCCATTTTAAGATCTGGTGTACCATACTCTGTTTGAACTCAGATTGGACGTGATCAGGTAACCGTTTTCTTATAACCCAAATTACCTGGAAAATGTTGCAGTCTTGAAAACGCACGCTTTATCTTTGGCATGTTCCAAGAGACTTCTTCAGAATTAGTGTGAATTGCACAACTCTACTAAAGACTTTTAAAATAGCACCAGGGAAAGTCATTTGCTGAGCCTGTCTGGCAAGGCACATCAATCGGAGATGGTGTTTCTCAAATGTTCTTGAGCAGCAGCTTTTGCTGGCCAAATTACCTGCATTTCAAAAATAAAAAGTAGATCAAAGAGCTGACAGTGAGGGATCCATAAATCCCTCCCACCCCTGATTCACCAGCAGCAGTTGTACTTGTAATATATGTATTATTTTTAGCAAGAGAGCCTGTAGGCCAGGGTGCTGTCGTGAGCTCCTGCTGTGCATCTCATGTGGAAGAGAAAATGTTTCAAGGCTAGGCTGGATGGGGCTTTGAGCAACCTGATCCAGTTGGAATCAGATAATCTTTAAGGTGCCTTCCAACCCAAACCATTCTATGATTCTGTTAGGGCTTAGCTCAGACAGTTGGAAAACTGCAGGCAGATACAAACTAAGCAAGAGTTAATAATAAGAGTTAATAAACTAGGAAACTAGGCCAAAGTTCTGTAAAGAACTAGCGCAGAAGGTGAAGCTGGGGCCTCCCAAGTGAAGGATGCTATAGGATCACAAAGCAAGATAGCAGGAGAGACCAGCTCTGAATGCTGAAGTGTGTGGCATGGGTAAGTTCCACCCTGGAAATATGATTTAAGTCCCTCAACAGAATGAAACATCTTCCAGCAGGGAAAGGTCAAGAGGCTTACAGCTTCTCTCACGTTCTCTGCCCAGGAAAGCCCTAAGGAAGCAGTCTTCCTTTTTATGAGAAACTGTGAAACGATGTAATGGAACCAATTTGAGGGGAGAAATACCTAGGAAGTGGCTTAAATAAAAATACCACCTCTCCCATGCAGACTGCCAAGGAATTGTGTTTACAAGCTGTGTGCTGATCTCCCCTCTAGCTTAGCTGGGTGCAAGAAGATGACCAGGCTGAACATAGTAAGAGGAGATGCAATGTGTTACAGTCTGTATCATATGTTTGGGCAAGATTGATTAGATGAGGCAGGCAGGAAGGTGATGTGGCTGGTTGGCGTGTCTTGACCATTTTAAAATCAGTTTTACAGCTAGTTTTTCCAATTTCTAGGATTGTTTGAACTATGTGTATGTGTTACTATTTTCCCATAGATAGTGCTCAGGACCTAAGAGAAAGGGCCTTTTAAATCTACATAACTCATTTTGCAAACGCAGGACTGGTCTATAAATCTGCATGCTTCAAGTCCATTGTGAATAATTCCTTATTTTTGAACTTGCTGAGCCAGAATCCCCACTTGTGATACTTAGCCTGACATTTCTTACATCTCATGAAGTGTCTTCCTAGGTATGCACAACAAAATCACTCCATTTTAATCTGAACCCAGTTTAAGTTACTGAGTAGCTAAATACAATTAATCAGACAATACCTCTCCCTCTAAATTATGTCATTAGCTATGCATCCCTGATCACAGAATCACACAGAATCACAGAATTTCTAGGTTGGAAGAGACCTCAAGATCATCGAGTCCAACCTCTGACCTAACACTAACAGTCCCCACTAAACCATATCCCTAAGCTCTACATCTAAACGTCTCGCCTACATCTTTCTTCCTAACAAGAGAGTCCTGGTTCAAGACACATATTTACACATTAACTCACATCTCTGTTGAAAATAAACTTATGCTAACCAAGTTTTTCAAAACCATCTCTAGGACTCGGGGCTTACCTCTAAGTAATTTCTAATGGGATTTTGGAGCCAAATCCTACAGACAGCTTAAGGAGAAATCTCTACCTTACGTGTTCATTCTTTTTTTTTTTTTTTCTTATTAAACTGAATGACCAACAAGTTTTTAATGTGTTTCACAGCTTAGCTTGTTCATCTTGTTCATTTTCTGATAGAGAATCAGCATTTCTCTTCCTTCTGGGGCATAGCAGTGTCCTAAGTAGGGCTAAGTGCTCGTTAGAATGAGCAGATGATAACCTAGCTGCCTGCTTACATTTTCTCACAACACAAGACAACACAGTAGCAACCTTTCTGTTGTATTTCCTCCTTAAACACATGGATCCATTTTTGAAAGGGTGAAAGGAAATTTTAAAGTTGCTAGTACTCTTGGAAGCTGCTGATTCTGCTCTGGGCTACAACAGCTTACGAAAGGAGGATGACAGAGACCAGACCAGAAAAGAAAGGAAAAGGACAGGGAGGTGATGGAGAGATGGAAGAGCTGTGAGGCAATGCATTCTGTAAACTGTTTCCTCCTGTGACTTGCTGGAAGGTATAATCAGTCATCTGCTGCTCGTTTTTGTGTGTATGGTGTGTGTGTTTTTTTAACTTCCATTGCAATCCCCAAAGACTACCCTCCTGGTTTTACTTTTTTTGGTGGTGATAGTGTATGTTTGTGTAAGGGGTGTCAGGGGACTGAAATTGTGATACCAACTAGCAATTTGGGTGTGTGGGTGAAAATTAACTGTTGTAGTTGGTTATTTTATGGGCCCAAAATATGGCTGTTAAAAACCCCAACATTCACCATATGAGCTTTCTGTATCCAGACCATAAAATGTCTGGGATACATAGATAGGATCCAAGCCGACTTCCTGCCATGAAATTGTGCTTCACTAATGATCACTCCAGCCTGTTTTCTAAACTTGGAGACCTCTTGTTTTCCCCAGAGGATATTACATTGTTTGTCTTTGGGAAAAAAGTGTTTGTGTGCTACAATTATGAAGTTTATAGAACTTAAAAATTCACCCGAAATGGGACTACTACTTTACACACAGTTCAGCTAGGGTACAAAAAATAAAAATAAAAAGATAAAAACACACAACAAACCCTACACTCAAAAGCTGCAACAAAGCACAAAGGTAATGGATCTTTTTAATAGCTAGTTCTCTATCAAAAACTATATTTACACTAAACACTGGCAGTTCTTTTCTAGATAGAGTTCATTTTTCTTCTCCCTCACACTCCCTTTATTCCTCTCTCAAGTGCACCATTTCCTTAGCATCCCCAAACATTGCTTTCCTCATAAATTTTTTAGATAGATGCTACTTTTTATATTAGGATACTCTATTTTTGTATTAGATAGGACAACATGCTGTACTACTACTGTTCAGTGAACCTCTACAGAGAGGCTTCTGAAACTGTACCTCCACTGTCTAATGGCTTGCCACACGAAGAGTCCTCATGCAATATGTAAAAAGAGTTTATTAAAAATAAATAAACTACAAATGCACATTCCTTCCTTCACATCTCAAAGTATAGTGAGAAAGGGCTTTCTATGTTTCATCATCACCCTGGCTAGTTTCTCTGAGCTGCATCTCAAGAGGATAGTTGTTTTAGGTACATGTGCCTAGGAGACTGTAGGAGATGGAGTGAGAAGAGGGAATCACCAGGGAAATAGAGGTACATCTAAGCTGTCATTACCTGTGTTTTAGGCACTGCCTGCCAGTGCTACCTAAAGGCTAAACAATCTTTTGATCATTTTGATTAATTTGAATATTTTTCTAGAAAGAAAAGGAAACACACCTATATTTAGAATTCAGCTTCATTATGGTTTTGAGGATACAATACGGAATTTTGGGGTTTCTTTGAAAGGGAAAAGTAGTATGATCAATGCCATGTATGCTTATATATGACATACTGAATATCGCAGTGCAATGCAGTCAACACAGATGTCAGCAGCCACAGTGCATGAACTGCAGAAAGCAAAGGTTCTTAATGCTGTTCACGTATTTTAATGTCATTATTAGAAATTGCATTGGCTTTCACACAGGTGTGTGACTGGCAACTTCATGCACAAGGGTCTGTAAAATACTGTCCTGCTGTTCCTGATAGTTCCCCACTTCCCAGGCTGCTCACACTTGTGGAATAAAAATGTTTTCCAGCAACATATAATTCAGAGTAGTTTACACGGGATTTTTAATTTGGTCACTCCCTCTACTGGAGACTTTGTGCCTAGGTCTTATTCAAATGGTAATCACATTATCAATTAATTAATCCTCCTATTTACATATATATATAATAATTTATCTAAAAAAAAAACACTAAAGGTGTTTATTTTTTGTTGTTGTTGTTTCCAGAGTGCAAGCTGTGCAGAGCTGTACGTGCAGTGAAACACACAGCATAATTGCCTGTCATGACTCTGTCCTAATATATAGTCATACAGTGACTATATATTAGATGGTCCATGTGAGTTAGAAGTTTGATGGCATGTTTTCTATAATACAGGCGTCTTTAAAACAGCACCATATTTTTAGCTTCCCAGTGTCCACATCCAGACCACACACTATCAGGATGCTAAATCCACATAACTAACACCGTTTTTAAAGCTAACTCCCCCATCCTTTTCAGTATTGTTTCATGAGAACCTGGAAAGTGAGCAAAGGTCACTGGAGGGTATATCCCAATAGGCTGTAGCTTAAGGAGCAGAGATGATGGAATTGCTATGAATTTCTATATTCTCTTTGGCTTTCATTGCCTAAACCTAGCAGGTTGTGGATACTGTAACCCATCTGAATTTCATTGCCTAAACCCAGCAGATTGGGAGTACTGCTTTGAAATACTCTGCATGCATAATATTGAGTTTGGAGATGGCTCCGTGTAAATGGTAAAAGTCTAGACAAAGGGCAAGCAAATATAATTCCAGCATATTTTGCTGAGGAAGATTAATAAAATGCAGTAATATCTAACTGTAAGCTCAATAAATGGTCAAGATATACCCTGGTAAATATAAGTAATTCCTAGCCTCACTAAATGCTGCTGCCTCAGTAGCAATGCTAGATTGATGCAAGAATGTTTTCCTGACTTAATCCGCTATTAGAATCGAAAGACTGAGGTAATTCATGAACAGTTTTGATGGGAAATGATTTATTCCCATGAATTCAAATCCTTTTCAATAGCTAAACTACTCAGTGATAACACAGTTTCTGCTGCTCTGAAGTATTTAAATTTCTGTTTCTTTAGCAGCTCTCACTACAACACTAACTATGCTCAGAAATTGCATGTCTTGAGCACTGCAAGCTTTTCTTAGCTTGATTTGGTTAAGCAAGGACTGTGTTTAAGCCAGGGCCCAGCCTCTGTTAAACACGGGCATGCATTCCAAACTGTCTTGTTCTCAGATTGCCAGTGGAAATTTTCATCTCTCCTGTCTGGGTTTTCCTC